GTAAAAACTTATGCTCTAGATAAGGAAAATTATCTGTGCAAGGATGCAGAAATGCCTGAATCAGAGAAATGAAAAGGCTCAACGTGGTGAGGGTTGGGGGGAGCAGGGCATGTGAGCAATGCACTTGTATCACCTTAAAGGTATACACATATTGATGGCTACAGAGGACCGCAAAGGCTCTCCCATTTCTGAAATTCTCTCATTCTGATATTATCCTTCCTATAATACTAAGAAATAAATAAATGTAGTTCTAGAGAACATAGAGTTATTTATTCAGGGAATCCCAAAGCCCCAGGCTAGGGATCCTAGTGGATGATGTACCAAACATAATACTCATCTTAAAAAAAAAACTGATTCTGGACATGGTACACTATTCTTTATACCAGCCTCTGGGGGGGGGGGGGGGGAGGCTAGAATTACTTGAATTACCTAGAAGTCCTAAACTTCCTATCCATTACTGACTTAGTTGTGAAAAGGGTGTCATAACAAATAGAATTTAATGATTTCTATGATCTAATGACAGTTGTCTACATAAGGAGATGGCAATAGGTGGAGTTTTTCTAGCCTCCCCAAAGCCTTTTGCTTCAACCCTACATAATCTAATCATCATAAGCTGGACCATAATGTCTAAACAAGGTTGCTTGGGCCCATTACTGAGCTGACCAGCATGGCACACCCAATTGTGGGCTGTTAGTCTCAGGAGCTTAAAAGGCACCCTTCAGAATTGAAATCTTGCAGGCGTAGACCTTCAAAATTAAAATGCTGAAGAAAGAACAATAGGCAATGGTAGTAAGAACTCAAGAGTTTTAGTTAGACTATTTTAAATTCTTAACCTCTTCCAACTTGAACAAGTTTAATCTTGAACAAGTTAGTGATTCTGTCAGCTCAGTTTTCTTATTTATAAAACCAGATTAAATGTGATAATGTATAAATACCACCTCTATATGTGAGCATGCCTGATAATCAGTGAATGTTAACAATGACTATCATTATTAATCTCAAAAATATTTAATGTCATCCAATCTCCCAGTTTATGCTTCAAGAAGAGAGCATTCAAATTGAGGCAGAAAAAACAGAAATAATAAATATATGAGGCTGTGTTACCCTTGGTATTTTAAAATGTCATGTCAGTGATGTAAACTGTTTTTTAAATGCCTGTGAAAAATGTTATTTGAGCAAAGATTACTGATAAAAACTCAAACCATAGGGATATAAATAAGAAGAAAAATGACCTTGAAAAGTTTGGAAGACTGAAAGAGAACCTGGAAGAAAGCAATGTGGCATTGTTCAGGATGATGGCAGCATCAAATGCTCTGCAGTTGTGGAGACTCATGTAGAAAAAGGCCTAAGATGGACAAAATGTGGTTATTAGTGGCCCAGTGGTAAACAAATGCACAGCCATCATAGGGAGCATCTGCTGCAGGGGAAAGAAGCCTGGGCTGGGCAAGACAAGCCCTGGCTGGTCCTGACCCTGTACTAACTCGGGTTTGACTTAGGGCAAGTCCCTTCCCTCAGTGGGATAATCTCTAATGTGTAAGGCTGGGTGAACAAGTTTCTAAGTCTCTTCCAGTGCTGAAATTGGGTGTTCCTAAGGGGGAATAAAAATTGAGTAACACATATACTATAGTCTGTGTTGGTTAATTTCTATTAGCTTACATTTCATCACTTATAATCACAGCTCTTTGGAAAAATACAGTAATGATAGATACTATCTGTTGAGTGCCTATTTGTTCCAGGCTCTGTGTTACAGATATTATCTCATGAAATAGCCCTGATATGTAGGTAATGTACTCATTTTACAGGTAAGGAAGCTGAGGTTGAAAGAATTTAAGTCACTTTCCCAAGTTACTCAGATGTAACTTGTAGACTCAGGATAAACCCAGTTCTCTCTGACATCAAATTTTTTGTTTCTTCTCACTTTTCCATGTTCCTTTTGTTTACCAACTGTGAAAAAATTAGAGTGTAATTAGAATATTGAAAGGTGTAGACATTTGATACTGTTAACAAAAGGTCCAAGAGAGGGTGGGTTTCCACCTGGTGCATACATCAAATACCAAAATATATTCCAGTAGATGAAAGAGTAAATGGCTAAAAATTAAACTATGACTGTACTAAAAGAAAACATGAGTAATTTATTAAATGCATTAGAGAAGGGAAGATATAATACAAAACTTAAAAGCTAAAAAGGGAAAACAAGTGATAAATATGACTATATAAAACATTTTAAACTTCTGTATGGCAACAAATAAAATACAAGAGAATAGCTAAAATACAATAACACAGAATACAAATACCAAACTGGTAAGAATAGTTGCAAAAGTTATGTGAGAGAGAGCACTAATATTTCTAATATGCGGATAAATTTTTAAAAGAGCAAACTCTCCAAATAAAAAATAAGCAAATTAAGTGAACAGGCATTTTATACAAAAATAAATTTATATAATCAACAAACATATGAAAAGATGCTCAACCTCTTAATTGGAGAAATGCAAAAAATTTAAATACACAATTATCTAACTATCAGAATGGCAAGGTCAAATATTGGTATATGTGCAATTTTTACAAGAGTGTGAAAAAGTAGCCAATTAGTGGGGATATAAATTCATGTTACATTTTAGAAGCAACTTAGCAATAGCTATCAAAATTTACCACTCATACCCTTTATCCAACAACTTATTGTTAAATGATATTTATCACAGGATTGTTTATAATAGCAAAATGCTGAAGCAACCTATGTGTCCATTGACTGTACACTGGTAAAAAAAATTGTTTTACCTTGAATAATAGAACTCTCCACAGTTATTTTTAAAAATTGGCAATGTATCATAATAGGTGAATGAAGAAAGCTCTCTAAGATATATAGGGGTGAGCAAAAGTAGGTTAATAATAATAAATAATATCATAATTAATTAATAATACAAGATCAAACTGTTTCACATACTCACAACTGTAAACCTGCCTTTTCCCACCCCTGTTTTTCAGGGAATTAATCCTTCAGAAACACATTCATAAGTGTTTGTAGTAGCAAAAAGCTGGACACAATCCTAACCACATCAATAGAAACACTGTCGAAAAATGCTGGTATATCCATACCATGGAATAGGCTCCCATCGAAAGGTAGAATGGTATCAGCTGATACTGAAGGTATCCAACATAATGGCTAAATGAAAAGTAAAACAAAAACAAGTTATAGAATTACATATGTATGATATGATCCTATTTACTTCAATAAATAGGCAATAATATATTAAAATACTTAGAGAAAGACAGGGAAAGAGAAAGTCACGCACATGCATGTATACAGTAGATTTCTATAAAGTATGCACAAGAGACTGCTACCAGTGGTTACCATGGGAGTGCAGACAGTGAAGGGACTTTTCCTTTTCCTTATATACCTTTCTAAACATCAGAATTCATTTACCATGGTCATGTATTATTTTTTCATAAAAAGCTAACTAATCATTTGACAAGAGATTCTTTGGTCCATGACTTGTTCATTCAGCTTCCTGTAGGCAAGAGCCCAGATCAAATTACTATTCCTGTCACTTCCTGCTCTGAGTCATACCTCTGACTCATGAATGCCTGGATAGTCTCTGAAATGACTGTCATCTACCAAGGAGTCAATCTAAAGTTTTCTAGTTCAAAGGGACTCTTAGAATCAAAGAGCAGAAGAGAACCGAGGCTCAGACCGGCGATAGACAGTCACTCAGCCGGTGAGTGGCACAGGCAGGCCACGCCTAGCTCAGCGGGCTTCCCAATTTACTATGCTTTCAGTAAGGAGTTCACCAGAATAGAAAGCCAGGAAGTGCCAGGAAAGTTGTAAAAGTGAATAAGGAGACTTTAACAAGGTTGTTATGAAGGACCCGGATGTGGAATTGAGGGTTACAGATATTCTAGGCCTCACAGGGAAACAGAGTAGGGACCCCCTACCCTTCCATATCATTGTCAAAGAGGATTCAGGAGAGGCCAAATAAGATTCTATATTTTATGTGTAGATAAACTGATCAGTTCTTTTATTCTTTTTCATGGGCTGTGGCCATCTTTCCTGTAAATAAAAGGAAGCAGAATTGTGGTATCATCTGCAAAAAAACAGCCTCTGTAGGTTAGAGAAATGGACTTGCCATGTGCTCAACTGAAGCAGAAGGGGCTTCCTCGGGCTGGTCTTGCTCACCTTGGATTCCCACCCACTGACCCTCTCCTGTGGCAGACAGGAGCCCTGTGGCTGAAAAACACTCAGTAATTATATTGTGTTGACTTAAACTGAATTGATTCTAGAAAGATTTTGGCTTTTGCTTCTCATTAAACTTGACTTTAGAATGAATTTTCCCTCTCGGCAGTTTTTAGATGCTCTGTTTCTCTTTTGGCATGGGCCCCAAAATGGGAGTTAGCGGCAGCAACATAAACTCTCCGCATTCTTTATTTCATTTTGTCAGAATTCACGCTGGAATTGTACATGAGAAATGGGGCAGTCAGGTTTATTTTGGAACAAGGCTCAGGGCTATCTAACTAAGCTCAGGATGACAGGACCAGGCATATGACCAAAGAGGGGGTTTTGGCGGGCAGCCAGCCCCAGTGCATATAGTGTCCCCAGAACCCCATCTGTCAGCACACGCTTGTCTAAGTACATTACATGTGTCTCTCTTTATTACCCTGTTTTCCCTCTCATTTTGAAGGCTCCCATCTACCCTAGGAATCTAGGAAACTCACAGAGGCATATGGAATGCACACACTCAAATTCTAGCAGCTGTGGGTATACGAAAAAATGTCAACCTGGTCAGACCATAACACAAATGCCAAAAGGTGAAATTGCATGTGCCTGCTAACTAAAATTTCTCAAGAGCATAAAACCTACTATGTTAACACACAAATGCCTGGGTAGGCATGAGGGGTTTTGAGGCAGGTGACATTATCTTAGCCTCTCCATTTTGAGAAACTTTTTTCTTCTATCAGAATAATATGCCTTATGAAACACCAAAATTCTCTGGCTTCCTGTCTTTCAGGTGAATGGCATTGACCTTCGTGGAGCATCCCACGAACAGGCTGCTGCTGCCCTGAAGGGGGCTGGACAGACAGTGACGATTATAGCACAATACCAACCTGAAGGTCAGTGGGTACCCACACGTCTAATGTTCTGATATGCAAATGTGTTAATGTGGACCAGTGTTTCCAGTCACCTGTGTTAACTCATCACTGCCAACAAGGAAAATCAATGCTTTATGTCCCAAAAACATGAGGCTGTGTTAGCCTTAAACCTCCAAGGAAAACATCAGATAGTTAGACCTGTTTGAAATATGAATTCAAATAAATAACAACTAACATCAGCTTTATTTCATTTCTATTCTTAGCTGGTACATACTATTTTTGGTCAGCAATGGATACAATTAAAATTTAGGAAACAAGGGGGAGAGATTTCATCTACAGAAATAGACCATGATCAGTAGGTCATATTCTCTCCTTGTGGCATTTACTCATATTAACACTGACATGGTTTTTGGATGCCCTTGATCTGGATTTTTTGTTTATTGTTTTTTGGGGAGTTTTTTTTTTTTGCCTTTTCTGCTACACTATGACATGTTTGCAGTGCATCACTATAAACCCTGAGACATGGAGAGTTGTCATAAATCCATTTAGCCTACTGAAACTTGATGGTGTGTCATAAATTGGATTAGCTATGCCCTGCTCTTTGGTTTATATCAACATCTGTTTCTCTGATCAGAATGAGGTATAATGACACAACTGGGATGTTATCTATTGTAGTTGATTTCTTAGCAAATTTGTGTGTAGAATGCTCCCTTGTTCGTGAAACATAGTTAATTAAGCACACAACTGTGGGCTAGACTTTGTATTTAAACAACAACAACAACAAAAACAACAACAGAGAAATACGGATGGCTTCTGTCTTCAACAAATACGTTAATTGCTTTTTGGTCTATATGGCTAGCACATAGGAGTATTGAACAGCCAAACATGGAAATACAAGGTGCCATCAAGGAAGTGCATGTGGGTATATAGAGCTTCTTTGGCCTTCCCAAATGATTCTTTCTTAACATCAGTTGGTCTATTGTCGTGTGAAAGACTGAGGTTTGTATCTTGCCTGTGGCATCTTAGATTTTACCATTAATGGTGGCCAACCACATGTTTTACCTGAGAATAGAGAATACAGTCTGCCAAGTGTGTTTGGTACATTATCTTCACTTTGCCTGGCTTTAGAATTAGAATGTTCAATTGTTAGACCCCCCCCCCAAAAAAAATTACTAAATGCTTTCTTTTACTGTTCTAGCCCAGGTGTGGCTAGAAAGCTGGGGAAGAGGGCATATGTTGGTGATGGTCAAAAGAAGCATGATGACAGCACCAAGGGTACATGTTCTTTCCAGACAGTTTTGAGAAGACTTTCGAATTCTTAAAAATTAATAGTCATGTCTTCTCATAGGAATAATGGTTCCAAAAAGTATCCATTGTAAATCAGAAAATGAAAAGATCTATGTTAGCACAATCTGATGAACAAATTTTAGTTCATATAGAATAATAAATTTTTCCTGGGATTCTTTCACTTTCTTGATAGCTGTTTTCTTTTGGTTTCATAACCTGGCACATGGCATAAATATCCTGGGCTGTTTTCCCATTTTGGGAAAATTTCATCTCAAACAATTCTACAGACTGATAAGATGGTCAGAATTATAGTAACACCAATTAGAAGCTCTTGATAGTGAAGACAGTCATTCAAATAACCTTGAACAGCATGATTTCAAGCCTTAAAGGCTACAATAAAGGGCAAGCTTGTCCTAGTTCTATCAGCATAAATCATCTTAAACCTCCTTACAGCTTAGTTTCCTTTAAGCAATATACTTAATTTAGGTACTGTGTTGTACTTTATCAAGATGCCTGTTCAAAGCATGTCTTATAAATCACGTAAGTCAATTTTTAAAGTGCTTCTGAAGAAACCTGCAAATAACAACAAGAAGCTTATTTTAAAATGCCAAAGTACAGGTCATATTCACAGAATGACTTCCCTATTTTAATACTTTAACTGAATTGTCATTTGTTACAGCCTTAAATCAGTTGGAAATGTAGTTACACAATATCAAGCAATCATTTTTCCTTCTTTGCAAATTTAATGTGCAGCTAAGTCTTAATTTAACTATTGTTTGAACTGAAAGATTGATTGGATTGTTGTGTAGGTCATTTAGGGTGATTTAAATTCTGCAACATCTTTAGAAAATAATGAACAATTGACCTTTAAAATAACAAGTGGAAAGAAGAGTATGCCATTAGATTCCATTAAGAAATTCTCACCAAGCAAGTCCCCTTCATTTGAACCAGTACTGTGAGATATCCATGCTAAGACAGATGTTATTGACATCCCTTTTGGTATGGTCAAACCACGCTTTCAGTAAATAAGTTTTTCAGTTGCACTCAAGTGCTTTTACCAGAAATATTCTAGGTGCCTTGCTCAGTATTACCAAATATCCAGAAAATGTGACCCTTATCCCCATCCCAAGTCTTTATCTTTAAGGAATTTTTTTATCTTATTGAAGAGAAAGAACTTAGGTACTTTAAATAGAGATCAGTTCCTGACGACATAAGACCAAAATTCTATAATAATGGTACTATTTCTATGAAGCATGAAATGTCAGAGAATGGATAAACCTGCAGGAGCCAGAATAGTGCAAAGAGTATTTTATGGACATGAGGGAATGGAGCCAGACTTTGGAGAATGGCTGGGACTTCTCTTCAGGAGAGAAGGGAGAAAGAATATCTTGCTAAATTCCACAAGATTGTGAGCTCCCTGCTTGCAGAACCAAAAACTAGCTATATTTCGTTCACTGATAAATCTGCCTTTCAGTGTTGTACTACAATTGGTATTTCTTAAAGAGTTGCTGAACTAATGAATAAAAGTTTACCATTTTTCAGTACTTGAATTTCCACTTGAAGGTAATTGAAGATTGAAGAGATTCATTTTTACTCCTTGAATTTTCTTATTTTTGCTTCAAAACAGAAAATAAGTGCTAAACAAGTGGGTGTCGCAAAATATAAAACCAATTTCCAATTGTGTTTTTCATAGTACTTAGCACATTTTTTTTAAATAATGATAAATACCATAATGTAGCTATAAATGTCTTTCTTGGCAAGTTTCACTGCCCAAAATAAGGTATAAGTTGTTATGTTCACTTATGCCTAAAATGATATTGGCCCCAGTTGTCTGAACTACTCTGTCCATCCTCAGTCTTATTCAGTGTCTGGTTCTAGGTGGTGGAATTGAAGAGTCACATACAAACTGTGTTCTTTCTGCTGGTGTGATTGTGATTCATTTTTACCATCTTTTTTAATTCAATTTTTATCAAGTTTATTTTGAAATTAACATGTAATGCATTAATAATAGGAAGAAAATGAAGTTATTTTTCCTTTTCTTAAAAAGGGGTTATATATCTGAAGCTTCAGGAATAATTCTGTTTAAGCAATGTGAAGAGTTAATTCTTGTAAAAACTTCAATGACCTATGTCCAATTAGTGAAATTACTCCAACACTATTCAGAAAAGGAAACATAATACCTGCCACCACCCACCAAATATACATACACATGTCCTTACTCTTCCCAGCCATCTTCCCAATTCCTTTTAGAATTATGTTTTTAAAAGATGTGATCTCGCCCTGGCCAGTTTGGCTCAGCGGTTAGAGCGTCGGCCTGCGGTCCGGAGAGACCCGGGTTCGGTTCCCGCTAAGGGCACGTACCTCGGTTGCAGTTTGTCCCCGGCCCTGGTTGGTCGTGCGGGTGGCAGCCACTCGATGTGTCCCTTCACGTCGATGTTTCTCTCTCTCTCTCTCCCTTCCTCTCTCTCCCTCCCACTCTATCTGTACAAAAATAAATAAATAAATAAATAAATAAATAAATAAATAAATAAAAGATGTGATCTCATTGTACCTGTGTTCAAACTCCTTGCCCTTCACAGCCAACCTTTATGTCCTGTCCCCACTCATCCACATCCACAAGCATCATCCTTAAAAAAAAAACTGATGTCTTTATTGATTTTAGAGAGAGATGAAGGGAGAGGGAGAAAGAGAAACATTGATCATCCCTCTTACACACCTCGTACTGGGGATTGAGCCCTCAACCCAGACACATACCCTGATGGGGAATTGAACCTGTGACCCGTTGGTGCATGGGATGACACTAAACCAACTGAGCCACACCAGGCAGGGCCAACAATCATCTTTTTTCATCCTCCACTCCCACTGCTACATAAGACTGCTCCCTGCCCCTACACTTGATCCTGAATTGTCATGTTTCTGGGCCTTTCTTTGCTCATGTGGATTACTCTACTTGGTATTCCCTTTTTTTTTTCTCTTTTCACCAGTAGGATTTATAATCATCTTGAGGGGCCCTAGATGTCAATTCCATTAAGAAGTCATCTTTATTCTGCTAAGACAACATTAATTGGTTCTTGTTTTGTGCTCCCTAGATCTGTATTCAGGTACCTGGTGTGTCTCTTATCCTGGTTTGCACATTTCTCTGCTCAAGTCAGCTTCTAGAGGGCAAGGACCCCTCTATTATTCATTCTGTCTCCCATGTTAATTTGCTCAATGCGAACCTGACTGTGCTTAATTAAAGAGTTATCAAATGGTTCTCCCCTTGTTTTAGAAGTACAATATAATATCTTCAGTGTGTTGGCCAATATTTATAATAGGCACTTACAAAATAGTTGTTGGCCCTGACTGGTCTGACTCAGCAGTTAGAGCATCAGCCAGAAGACCCAAGGGTCATGAGTTTGATTCCCAGTCAAGGGTACATGCCTGGGTTCCAGGTTCAATCTTCAGCCTTGGTCAGGATCATGCAGGAGTCAACCAATTAATGTGTCTCTCTCACATAGATGTCTGTCTCTCTGTCTCTGTCTCTGTCTCTCTCTCTCCCCCCTTCTCTCCCTCCCTCCCTTCCACTCTATTTAAAAATCAATGGAAAAATATCCTTGGGTAAGGATTAACAAAAAGAGAGAGAGAGAGAGAAACAGTTGATGAATGAATATTGAATGAATGGCCTAGTTTTGATATTAGATACAAAAATGGTAAGAATTCCTAGATTGGATTTTGGTGTTAATGCAATTTTTAGA